CAGCCTAATTGGTTACTTCCCTCTTTCACAAATGTATTTTTTTCCTTATTTTTCTTCTTCTCACTATTGCGTGTCCTCTGTAAGAGAACAAGCCTTCAAAACGACTCCTTTCGGCTGTTCCAGTATTTCACATATCTGGTCTTTACAAAAAACTTCCTCTTGAATTTTTTCTAATTGATGAGCAACAAAACTGCTTTTAAATGTGCTCATCACACCAGCCTTGTTGGTTACTTCCCTCTTTCACAAATTTATTTTTCCTTTTTCTCCTTTTCTCACTATTGCTGTCCTCTTTAAGAGAACAGGATTCCCTTTGGCTGTTCCAGTATCTGAATATCTTTCAGTATCATGGTGAATATCTGCATATCTTTCAGTATGATGGTGAATATCTGCATATCTTTCAGTATCATGGTGAATATCTGTGTGGGGGGGTGGTTTCCTCCTCTTTTTCCCCCCGGTGGGAGGTACCTAACACGGTGAGGCGGGCGGAGGCCGAGTCCTGGTCGATCTCGGACCGGACCGTGCACGTGTACTTCCCCTCGTCCCCCTCGTTCACGTTGGGGATGGTGAGCCCGTCCTCGCTCTTCTTCAGCCTGGAAACACACGGAAAACATCCCGATGTTCAGCCGTTTGCAACAGAGTTCATAACTTTTATCGTTCAGGTGGGAAGTCAACTCTTTTCAGGGTGGTAGACTGATCAATCCATAGTTTAGTTCCATTAAAATAACAGAAAAAAATGAAGTAGTTATTCAAGTAAATGCTAAATTGACAAATCCATAGTTTAGTATCATTAAAAGAACAGAAAAAAATAATTTATTATTATGCGATAGGTCAAGATTATTTTTTGTGTAGTCTTCTGCCCCCTGTTATCAGGTGTATCTGATTGTGTACAATAGGATTTTGAGCAAAGTTTTTACCAATAAATTATGCAAAAGGAGTCAGACACAAAACATTTCAGAAACCGTATGAATCAAATATGATACGTTTGGCATTACAGGGTTAATATTTGAGATTCGTGCATGTGTTCTGATCATCCCATCTGTTTGCAGTAACTTTACCTCCAGCCCAGGCTGAGGGGGTTGTCGTCCTTGGTCCAGTCCAGGGAGACGGGCAGGCTGGGGTCGGCCTTCACCTTACAGTCCAGCCGGGCGGTGGAGCCCCGGACCACCGACTGGTGCACGGGGGCCTGCACGATCCGGGTGGGCTCTGGGGAGGAGAGGAAGAGGAATAAGAAGGGAATGAGAAGGGAATACGAGAGGAATGAGCCTGGAAAATGAACTCTTCTCCATTGTCTGAGGGATTGTCTCAAAGTCCAGGAGTTTTGGAAGGACGTTATTAGGCGTCTATCTGAACTGTTTAAGGTGAAAGTCCCAGTAGAGGTTCAAATCTGTGTCCTAGGAATATACAGTGGGGGAAATAAGTATTTGAGCCCTTGCTGATTTTGCAGGTTTGCCCACTTACAAAGAATGCAACGATCTATAACTTTAATCATATGTACATTCTAACAGTGAAAGACAGAATCCCAAAGAAAATTCCAGAAAATCACATCATATGAATTTATACAAATTGATAACCATCTGATGGGGAAAAATAAGCATTCTTTATTTTTTATATTCTTTACGTTTGTGTGCGTCTGTGTGCGTGTCTGTGTGTGTCTGTGTGCATCTGTGTGAGTCTGTGTGAGTCTGTGTGTGTCAGATAAGATTAATTTGTGTAAACGTAATAACATTTTGCCGTTTACTTTTCTACCCAAGTTCAGACAGGCGTTCTGAGGGTGGAGTTGTGCGTCTGCGTGTGTCTGTGTGCGTCTGTGTGAGTCTATGTGCATCTATTTGGATATTTGTGTGCGTCTGTGTGCGCCTGTGTGCGTCTGTGTGTGATGGGTTTCTGAGCCTGGAGCCTGAACTCCTCCGTGCTGTGCCTGACCTTTGACCTCCAGCTGGACCTGGTTCTCGGCCTTCCCCAGGATGCTGCTGTGTCTGTGTGTGTGTCTGTGTGAGTCTGTGTGTGACTATGTGTGTCTGTGTGCGTCTGTGTGAGTCTGTGTG